CAATTTTGTTATCTCTCTAATTGCGTTGTTTACAAAAGCACTCATCTGAGTAATTTCCTGCTAATCTAGTGAACAAGTTTAATATTATCTCTAAAAGGTTCAAGGCTCAAATACAAAAAAAAAAAAAAAAAAATCAAAGTTTGGAGTGGACCCTGCCCAAAAAAATAAAAAACAAAAGAAGTTTAGAATGGAATTCTAGCTCTTTGCCAATTTGCCTCCAGAAAATATCAACTGATTGTAAATCCAGCATATACAGTTAAGGATCAAGAAAGAGATGTCTTTTATTTATTCATTTTTATATGGATAAACGTCATTTCTGAGTAGCCTTTTCAACACGAGCTTCTCCTGGAAAGGAATCCCCAAAACTTGCTATAAAATCCGGGGGCCACACTTCAATAATTTAGGCTCAACTCAACTTGGACGTTTCTACAAAATCAGGATCTAGCAATCCAAAATCTGGGTTTGACTTGGACATTTATCTGAAAGAAAATAAAAAAGCTACTTTTGCAAAACTAGTTGAGTATTAATGCTCATTTTGAAGACAAGAAAAATATGTTGAAATGTAAAAATATGTCATGCTTCACACCTACAGTTCCTTTTATTGCCTTCCACAGCCGTTTTTTGAAGACAAGGGAAAATAATTATGTAGAAAGAACAATGATGGTGCTCTTTCCATTTTTTTTTTCTTTTATTCTTTTTGTGCTCATTCAACTTTATAGCCATGCAATATTATATACATAAGGTACTGCTGTCTATTCACTACAACAAAAATGGCCTTTAACGGCATTTGAAGGTATCAGTATAGATAATCTAATCTGACACTTTATCTATTCTCATACTGTTGTCTATTCTGTTTATTCAATCCTCTTGTTCATCATTAAACAAAGTGTGTAAATAAAACTAAAAATGATGAAATATTACATTTTTGTAAATATGAAAAAGAGATTTTTATTAAGTGTAAATCGCCTTTTTTTTTTCCCAAATTTTGCCTGATTTCACCAATCTAGGGTGGAAAAGACTTCTTTGGTAATCAAATTGACTTGCACATACCTGGATTTTCATCTCGGGTAAAGACACGATTTCCGTCTTTTTTATGGAATCAAGTTGATTACTTTATTTATAGTTTTTTCATTTTATTTCTTTATTCTTTTTGTGGGTAGGTAAGTTTCACCATTTTGTATTTTTGCGTCAGAAGGAAAATGCAAGGTGAGAAGGAGAGCTTTTTACGTTATGTTTCAATAGAATGAATTCGATAAGGGTAGAATATGCCCTGGGTAGAAATGCACTTGATACATATTTCCGGCAAGCCGGCAAGAACAATTAAGGAGCAAGAATGAAATGTACTTCTTATTTTACTTTTTATTTGGTTGGGGGGATGACATCTCAGAACAACATGAGTTGTTAACTTGAGTGTTTAATGGACTGACTGCCACGGACAGGACCCAGAAGTTCATCTTAAGGGGGCGAATTTGAATTTATCTAAACTTATATGTATGGCATAAAATATTTTTAAATTTTGTGGGGGCAAAAATTTAAATCTATAGAGAATGTTCTTAAAATTTCAAGGTTTTGCAAGGAATGAAAACTGAATTCTCTAAAACTTTTGGGGGTGGGGCCCCTTCCCTCCCCGCTGCTTAATACAGAATTCGGAAGTCACGATCCAATTATTTAGACTCAACTTGGCATTAGTACAAAGTCCGGAGATAGCAATGCAAAATTCTCGCAGTAACTTGGACGTTTTACGTCCCTGAACGATTCTAAAAGCCAATTATAAATATGTTTCCAACCGTCCAACTTGTGTGGTTAGAAATTGAATAGGGGTAATGGTGCTAATCTCTTTTTCCTCTTAGCCTGATTGTCTTGAGCAATCTTTGATTCATAGACATCATGCATGTTGACATCTAAGTTGAAAATTATCTTGCAAAGGCTTTGCATTTTTTGATGACTCAAATACGTTTGTTTTTATTGAGAAATTTGACCAATAATTTGAAATTCATCAAAATCGCTCCAATTATTTAAGAGTCATTTAGGTTTGTATTTTATCAATTATCTATATATATTTTAAAACTATAATAACTGGTGATTTACAAATCCAAATATCTCCTAAGTAATCTAAACAATTAGAGAAATTTGAGAGAATTTCCAGTATTTTGTCAAATCTCTTATGCCAAACGCAACCAAAGAGCATCTGAGGAAACATAGAAGGAACAAAGAATAAGAATTTGTTTAAAGTGTTTCATGGAAAGGAATTGCCAAAACTTAGTCCAAAGCCCGGGAGTCACAATCCAAAAGCTTTGGCTCAACTTAGACATATCTGCAAAGTCGTTTGGATTGAGACTTTTTTTCAAAAAAATTTTATGTTTTTCGTGAATACGTTTCCTAATCATTGTTTTACCTTATATATATTAAATCATTACAGTACATTTTTCTACAAAAATTCCAGAAAATAGCAATCAAATTAAAACTTATGACATTTTTGTTTGTAAAAGAAATTAAAAACTTATTATGTTGGCGAAAAGTTTTGTGAATTGCCACAAGCATATAGTATTTGAGTCGGATACTTGTAACCTTTTGTTTAGAGAAAATTCAGATACCTGCAATAATAAGTATTCTCTTGTTTCTCATTTCTAACTTCTTTATTTGGGTTTAAGCAACCTCAAATTACGAACAGCACGTGAGAATGGTTTACTTTACAAATTACCAAATAAGAAAAATGAAGAAATAAGAGTATGTTTTTTATACACTCTCAGTGAATATTTATTTTAATACTAGCAGAGTTAGATCATGTCACATAACATGAATTCAAATTTAACACTCCAATCATGCACACATGACATGCATCTGTAGCTACTTGTATATAAAAAAAATCACCACACTGTTAGTACATAAAAAATTAATCCAAGAAATAATAACTAGAATAATAGTCCCCTTGAGACCTCAAAAATTAGAGGTCTTTGATTTCAGATCCCTCTACCCCTTCAACTTCTTAAATCCTATCCCTCCCCTGCTTGGAAAAAGAAAAGCCTGAATATTAGTCCGTCTCTTTCTATAAGTACTTAAATTTGGGCTTTACAAAGTTCAAGGACAAAAAGATTCTAAGTTATGCATACATGAAATTTTTAAGAAATAAATTGTGACTAATATTACTGATAAAATTACACTCTCATAAATTGTGACAACAGGTAACCTCTAGAATAGTTTGTTGGGGGGTTCTGTTGAAATGGAAACATGTAATACTTCGTACCTCTAGTTTTCTTATTGTCTTTGATAGTCCCCTTTAGACAAGGGAAAATAATTATCATGAAATGGCGACAATGTTGCTATTTCTTTTTCCTTTTCTTTGTTCTTGTTATTGAAAAAACTGTAGATTAATGGTCATGTTGCTCATCTGAAATTACTATATCCATGTTTGTGTACATGTTAGTGTAGTCCACGTACGATTATATCCATATTTGTATGTTCATTCTTTATCAAACTGTAAATAAAGGTAAAAATGATGAAATATTATCATTTCTTTAAAGATGAAACAGACCATTATTAACTTTGTCGCTTTTGTCCCAATTTTGCTTGATTTTATATACCGAGGATGAAAAAGACTTCTTTGGCCCCACTTATGTGGTTTGTTTTTTGACTTTCACGTGTCTGAATATTCATTGACAATAAAGAAAACGCAACGGATCTTCTGTCCCACATCCTGTGCCACTCTCTGTCCCACTTTTTATTATATTACTATTTCTCATTCATAAACATCATGTTTTAATTCTTTTTTGCTTCCTTAAGATCCAATAACTATTAATTCAGTAAAAAATAAATATAACAGCTTCAAAAAAGCAATATATAATAGAAAATTAAAAAATACAGCAGAAAATTCATAAAAAATCTCATTTTTTATGCATTTTGATTTTTTGAGTATGTTAAATTTTGCCACTATTTTGCACTATTTTGACAATATGCCACTATTTTGCACGAAAGTTGAATTATATAGACATGTAAATTGCATCTTTTATGTTATAAAACAATGCTAATTAATATCTACCCATCCCCTTTTTGGTCAAAGTTTAACGGAGATTGCAAAGCTTTGGAGCGGTGCTTGTTGCATCAAGCCTCAACTCACCGCCAAAATTGTTCCTGTCCAAGAACAATACATGGAGAATGGTGAATTTTCAGCAACAACACTCCCACCCAATGCCAAAAGACCACAACACCCTTGAGATTCACAAAAAATCACAGTATAACAAGCCATTCTCTCTTTATATATGTAAGATATGTTCAAAAGCTTAGCATACTGAATTTTTATGTTATATTCTAAAAAAGGTTTGGGCAGGAGTAGGATTTGGTAATATGCATTACTATGCCTCATTTGTTAATAAAGCGATACCTATCTTTCAATTTTGACGTGATACGAAATGTGTTATGTGCTAAGTCCACAGCATTTTGCTGCCTTGTTCTGTTTAATGCTGTTGCTTTTGTGTTCTGTGAAATGTCATTGATGATTGGTTGAATAGATTGTTGATCACTTTATGGAGTCATAATGAACAGAATAAAATCTGATTATAGAAAGTGATTATAGAATATAATCAAAATCAGTGAAAACAGTTTTTTAATTGATAATGGATTTTAAATTAATTTTTTTTAACTATGAAAACGTTGTAATGTAATCAGAAATTCAGAATACATTACTTCATAAATTTAGTTATATGACTTGTAGTGTTAGAAGAGCTTTTAGTGAAGATTCAAATTTGGTGTTTTTAGAATAATTTTTATGTTCTATAAAATGAAATATAAATTATTAACTAAATAGAGCCCAAAAAAAAAAACACATTTCAAAAATTCAAAACCGTACATTATTCAATACAATAAGTGGATACTCAACTCAAGTATGTATCCAACCAACACACTTAAACACCTAATAAGTACTTTAATTGAAAGTTTCACTACATGAAAGTGCTTTCGATAAATCACTGCAACTTCAAACGAGCATTAAGTAAACCAAGATGTGCCTACTTTAGCCTGACGCTCCCCGAGGATGTGCTTGACATGATATCTGGATACAGTGGAACAGAAAGGCTGGACTTAAGGAGCTCAATAATGGAGTCATTTACTCGGAATGATCTCGACAACACATCATCGGGGACAGTAGGCGTGGAATTGAAGAGAGCATGAGACAGATAATGAGTTCCTGGTTGTTGACTGTTGTAGCTTGCATTAAGGAGAGCCGCTCCCTCCCCAACATTGTATACAAAGTGCACAAAAGCCTGAGGGATCACAACCAACATTTTAGGGGTCATAGTCTTATAGAACAAGACATTATCAGTGGTTATAAAGCCTGCAATGACTTTCCCCTCCATCAATAAAAGCATCTCACTCGCCCGGGGGTGTGTGTGCGGGCCTACAACTCCTCCTTTGAGGAGCTGTATTTGAATCATGGTTACACCAAGAGTGTTTACCGCCGGGAAAAAGTCAACATGTGCTGCGGCGGCTTTCCATCCATCGATATTGAACGCTGTGGTATCGGTGATGAACCCGTCGTAGAAGAAGTCGTCCACAGTTACATTATTAGGGTTTTTGCAAGGATAACCATTCAAATATATATCTGAACTTAAATCCGCGATGCAGTAATCTTGTAATGGAGATGGATCAGCACCATAACAAGGCATTACTAGTGATAGAAGTACTATTATGAAGAACATGAGAAGGTGAAGGTAGGGAAAGGACTTGGCCATGTATACAGCTTATATGTGTCTGGTACTGTTACTCGGCTCTCTTAACTGATGCAAGTGCTTAGCCCGCACTCCATATTTATAAGATTGGAAGTTTGAAACTAAAGCCGCCAACCAAAATCGAACCATTGCTCGAACGTGCATGCACGCGCGCACCAATAAAGTTTGGTCAAAACTAACGGTCATTCTGGCCTAGGTAGGATTCCTGGTTATTGCCACAACGGTCTTCCAAGGCACATTTCAATTTTCAACTTAGGGGAGGTGAGTGAGACTGTCAGAAACTTCAGGGGAGGTTTCTGAAATTATCCCCAAAATCTAAACTTGTTCAAATGCTCCACATCAAGATTCTACCTTTGCTGAGGACATTTAGCATTGGCTTTAAAGTTGTGAGGAAGAGAGATAATTCAAAATGGTCCAAAATAATTCTTTGATTTGTTTTCATCGGATAATTTTCATCAGATAATGTTCATCATATGGTACTTTTTTTTTGTGTGATCGTGCTAGACAGTCTACTCGTTGTGGATTGTTAAAAATCAGGAATCAGACTTTTGACAAATATATATTCATTTAGTGATACTTGTTCCTGAGAAATTCACTCGTTGCTGCGCAAGGCTAAATATAAATTAGCCAGCATGATTTTCTCTTCCACAATCTAGATACTACTATTGTGAATTTTGCATGGTGGAATTTATCGTGCCACGCAAGAATAATCAATCTGTAATTTTTTTTATGGAATACTAAGGGTATGTTTGGTTTCCCATGAAATTGGGGTTTAGAATTGGAATTGGGTCCCCAATTCTAATTCTTGTGTTTGGGTACTACCTTTTCTATAAAATTAGAATCGAATTGCAATTCCATATCGATTGAATTCCATGGTTCCAATTCTTTGGCGTAGCCAAAGAATTCCAATTCCAATTCTACGGCCAGATTTCCATTCGGGTCAACACGTGGACTTTAAACGGGTAAAAACTCAAAAATGGGTCAACTATAAAGTTGGATTAAAAAAAAGAGAAAGCTGGCTTCTTTCTCTATCTTCATAAGCGAATCACCATCTGCTCTATCATTCTCTGCCGCCGCCACCGCCTCCTCCTTGTCCCAGCACCTCTGCCATAACCCCTCCAAGCCTTTCCTCCCTCTACCCAACATCAAGTGGGTGAAATTTACAAATTGAGTTATATTTTGGTCTCCTTTCTTTCGATTCCTATCTATCTTGAATTATGCTTCCCGCTTTTACCTTTGTTGCCGCTTCCATTGCCGTCACCACCATCGCCGTCGCATCCTCTCTCGTCCTCACTCTCCTTCCTCTCCCTCAATTCTCAATTCTTGACAAATTTAGGGTTTATGATGGTATATTCACGTTTAAATTTCTGCAAATCAAAGATTGTTTTTTTTTGGTTGTTCCTCTGATAATGTTTGGCATTAATGTTATAAATTTACTACTATTTTTTTTGCTTCTAATTCAACGTTGGGACGAGGATAGAAAAAAAAGGTAGCACTCTGTTGCCCTGTTCTTCTTTATTTCATTTTAATTAGTTAATGTGGTCCTAGTTTACAGAGATCATGAGCTGATAACAAAAATTCCAGCTAAAACCCATCTTCTGCTTAATGCTTACCACAACTACAGGGGATCATGTTTTATCATTTTGGTCTACCTCTTCAGCCTTCATTTCCCTAATGTATTATTCTTTTTGTGACTATTGGCCCTTTTCTTATTTACGAAGAGGCTTGTGATCAGTTTTACTTGTCAAGGTATTGAAGATGCTTCTCCGCATTAAAATGATATACCGGCAGTAAACGGTCCATGGTAAATGAGTGCTGCGATTTCCGTTATCAGCTCATGATCTCTTAAGGCTTATTTCTGTTCTGCTGCGATTTGTTTTATTCTTCTTTTGCTAAGTTATGAATTATGATAACCAGTTTATTTCTTATATCAGTTATTAAGCTAGCAGATCGATTTAGCTTAAAATGACGGTAATAAAGAAGCTAGCAAATCATTTGTTGGATACAAAAAAGAAAGCCCGAGAAGTATGAGTCTCGTCTTCATTTGCATTCCATATTCAATTTGTCTAAACATGCGATTGTCCCACAAAGTTATTTCTTCTTTTGCTGGCTAAGAATGTCCATTTTGCTTGTAAACATGTGATTGTTGACTTTTACATTTTTGCTGGTGATAGGGTATCATTTGTTAATAATTTTATTATTAATTTCCCCCTTTATCCCTACCAAATATTGTGTTAATTGTTGATATCTACTTATATTTGGTATCTGGACTTAATTTCAGGAATAAAACAGAAAACTACCAAAAAGGAGGGATTTTATGGGAAAATGGAGACTTCTAAGGGTTTCAATCCTTATGCCCTTGAATTGGTGGGGACCACAAAGCTATAGTCATTTTGGGCTCTCCAAAGAAAGGAACGTAGAGAGACTTGAAACAAGAAGTAATTTGGAGGCTTTGTCCACATGTATGGGGACCACCTAGATAGCTTTTAGTCATCTTTCTTTTGGTTCTTTAAAAGGGACAACGTACAGAAGCAAAAGACACTTTTTAGTTTAGCTTTTTAGTTTAGTTCTAGTTTTCTTTCTTTTGACTGGCCTCTGACACACGCCAGGTGTTTGACAATATTCCCCAATGGAAAAAACATCTTTTATTCCTTACTTTCTAGTAAAAAATGCAATGCCTTTGCAATCTATTAATTCGTGTGGTAATTTAATTATGCGGCGTGGTTAAGCCTTCCATCTAGTCAAGGGTCAACTCGACGGCGCAGTCCCGAAAATCTATGAGATCTAATTAGTTTTCACGCGTTTCTTAATTTATTAATATTTGCACATTGTCTGCTTGAACTTTCATGAGATTATTTTATTAATTGGATGTCAAGGGCCCGATATTCAATGTGATTTATTAATATCATGCCAATTTAGTCAATTAAATCCGTAATTGTTTGATTGATTAATAGTAGTGGCAACTGGTGTGTTTACACATTAGGAGAACGTGCAATCTAATTTGAATAACCCTCGTAGCGTGTTATTGATTAGGGTTAGGTTTTTCTAGTTATTAATACAATTGGAAAATTAATTCCTACGGTCGTACCTAGGAGTATTTTCTGATTAGGGGTGATCAATGGTCGTACATTGGTTATCAATAATTTAAGGAAAAATTGGTCGTTAGAGTGTTTCGGCGACTATAACTAGCCTATTAAGAAAGTAAGTGAACCTCTCTTGTATCAATGATCGGATAAATGGACTGTGTTTGAGTAGTTGTATCCTTGGTTAGAATTTATTTATTCTTGATTTAACTCCTGCTATATTCGTCCTGGCTAAATTATTTATTTATTTTTTTAGTTGAGTTGTTTAATTGTTTTTTCTTGAGTTTTATTTTGGTAAAATCCCCCCTTTCCCATTGGAATTTAAAAGAGACAAATATTTTCAGTCTCTGAGGAGACGACCCTACTTGCCACTGTCTACTAATTAGTACTTATTGTCAGCAAATTAATTCTGGTATATCGAATTAAACAAACTCTTCGGGAACAGGATGAATCAAGTAACCCATTGCACACCTAGAGTCCCTGCTCTAGTACTTAGAATTAATTACTGACTGTTTTTAGTGGTATTTAGGATTTTATTATTATTATTATTATTGCACAGGGTCGACGACCCGTCAATTTTTGGCGCCGTTGCAGGGGACTGGCGTCAATTATTTGTTTCTTTTCAATTTCAATTTTGTTCTAAATTTCTGGTATTTTTTCTAGTTTATGCCTCGTTCTTCTCGTATAAGCGAATTAATTTTCGATCCTGAAGTAGAGAAGACTGCGCGTAGAACAAGGAAAGAAACTAGATAGTTCAGAGAGGCGCACTCCAGTGCCGCATCTCAGAGACCTGAGCAAGAAGCTGAACTAGCAGATTCGTTTGGTGACACCTCGAGCGACTCGGATCAAGAGGATACCACCATGGCAAATGCACAAACACTAAGGGAGTTGGCTGCACCTAATTTAAATCAACAACCTTTGTGCATTACTTTTCCAAGTTTAAATGATAACACATCTTTTGAGTTGAAATTTGGTATAATTCACCTCTTACCATCTTTTCATGGTTTACCAGGTAAGGAGCCCTATAAGCACTTGCAGGAGTTCGACGTCGTATGCAATAGTATGAAACCCTCGGGAATCACCGAGGAGCAGATAAAAATGAGGGCCTTCCCCTTCTCTTTGAAGGACTCCGCGAAGAATTGGCTATACTACTTACCACCGGGTAGTATCACCACATGGGACCAACTGAAAAAGAAATTCCTGAACAAGTACTTTCCAGCGTCCCGAGCTGCAAGCCTGAAAAAGGAGATATGCGGCATCAAACAACACCCAGGCGAGTCCCTCTATGAATACTGGGAGAGGTTTAAGAAACTATGTATCAAATGCCCTCAACATCAGATAAGTGAGCAACTGCTCATCCAATATTTCTACGAGGGGCTACTTTTCAGAGACAGGAGTATAATCGATGCTGCAAGTGGAGAGGCGTTAGTGAACAAGACTCCTCGGGCAGCATGGGAATTGATAGAGGGGATGGCTGAAAATTCGCAGCATTTTGGCACTAGGGAGGATGCCCAACACGTAAGGTGAATGAGGTGGAAACATCCTCTATTTAACAACAAATTTCTGAATTGACATCCTTTGTGCGGCAGCTAGCTGTAGGTAATGCCTCACAAGCCAAGGTGTGTGGGGTATGTGCTGCCCTAGGCCATCCTATAGAAATGTGCCCACTAGTTCAAGAGAAAAATGCAGAGCAGGTGAACATGGCTGGCCACGCGCTCGCACCAAGAAGGCAGTACGACCCGTACTCAAGTACCTACAATCCTGGTTAGAGGGACCACCCCAACCTGAGTTATGGGGGGAACAAGCCGTCTAATTTCATACCAAATAGATAGCAAGGGCATCAACAGCAATACCAGCCTCGCCCACCACCACCTCCTTCGAACTCAAGTCCGTCCTTAGAAGAGATGATGAAACAACTACTTGCGAATCAATAGAAGACGGATTCAGACCTACAAGCTATGAAAAATCAGTGGGGACAAGTACAATCATTGCAGACTCGGGTAAATCAAATGGCCATCACGCTCAATCGGTTGGAGTCCCAAATGCAAGGAAAGCTGCCATCTCAACCTGAGTTAAACCCGAAGAATGTGAGTGCCATGACCTTGAGAAGTGACAAGGAGGTCCAAGGACCCGACCCGTTGATTCCTAAGGACAAGGACGAAGATCAAATTGAGAAAGAGCTAGAAGAGGAAGGCGGAGACAACAAAAATTCAAAGGTAATCCCGGACTCACTCGTTTCAGCAAGTACCAACCCACCCCCCTTCCCAAGCAGATTGGAGAAACCAAGGAAGCAGGACAAGGAAAAAGAGGTCCTGGAGATTTTTCGCAAGGTGGAGATCAATATTCCCCTTCTAGAGGCGATTAAGCAGGTACCCAAATACGCAAAATTTTTGAGGGATCTGTGTGTCAATCGAAGGCGGTTGAAGGGAGATGAGAGAGTGATAGTAGGGGAAAATGTGTCAGCAATTCTACAACGAAAGCTTCCACCAAAATGCGGAGACCCAGGTATGTTCACTATTCCTTGTAGAATAGGCAATACCTTGATTGGAAAGGCTATGTTAGATTTAGGAGTCTCAATTAATGTCATGCCGAAATCTATATATGCTTCTCTGAAATTAGGACCTCTGAAAGACACTGGAATAATAATCCAACTGGTTGACCGAACCAATGCATACCCTGACGGGTTGATTGAGGATGTTTTAGTGAAAATTAATGAATTGGTTTTTCCTGCTGATTTTTACGTACTTGATATGGATGATGAACATTCTCACGACCCATTACCTTTACTGTTAGGAAGACCCTTCTTAAGCACAACTCGAACAAAAATAGATGTAAATAAGGGCACCCTATCTATGGAATTTGATGGTTCGATTGTTCATTTTAACATTTTCGAATCCATGAAATATCCTTCAGAATCACATGCTGGCTCTGTTTTCTCTATAAATGTTATTGACCCTGTTGTACGAGAAGTTTTTGAAATTGAAGGCAGGGATGGGTTGGAAGTTGCCTTGACCAGGCACCTCGAGTCAAAGATGACCGCTGGGGTAGAGTTGAGTGAAGAGCTCAAATGTGTGCTTGGAGCATTGCAGACATTGCTAACCACAAGAATAAGGTATAATCTCGCACCCATTTTTATACTTGAACCTCACCAAAGGCTACTCCCATCTGTGGTGCAGGCGCCTGTTGTGGAGTTGAAATCGTTGCCGAAACACCTAAAGTATGCGTACTTGGATGAGGGGGAGACACTCCCAGTGATTATCTCCGCCAGTTTATCAAAAGTCCAAGAAGACAAATTGTTTCGGATTTTAAGAAACCATAAGTAGGCGATAGGATGGACCATTGCCGATATCAAAGGAATTAGGCCAACAGTATGTATGCATCGGATTCGACTCGAGGAGGGTGCTAAATCTATCCGGCAGGCTCAAAGGAGACTGAATCCCCTCATGATGGAGGTAGTGAAGAAAGAAATCTTAAAACTGCTGGAAGTGGGGATAATCTTTGCAATATCAGATAGCCTCTTGGTGAGTCCGGTACAGGTGGTCCCGAAGAAGGCAGGGTGACGGTGGAGTCAAATCAAGAGGGCGAGCTCGTACCAGTTCGAAAGCCCACCGAGTGGCGGCAGTGTATAGATTATAGGAAATTGAACACCGTCACGAAAAAGGATCATTTCCCCCTTCCTTTCATTGATCAAATGGTAGAGCGATTAGCAGGTCGAGCTTACTATTATTTTTTGGATGGATTTTCAGCTTATTTTCAGATTGCTATCGTACCCGATGACCAGGAGAAGACTACCTTCACGTGCCTGTTCGGAACATTTGCATACCGGAGGATACCATTTGGGCTATGCAATGCACCTGCTACCTTCCAACGTTGTATGGTAAGTATCTTTTCAGAGTATGTTGAGAAGATTATTGAGGTTTTTATGGATGATTTTAGTGTGTATGGAAAAAGTTTCGATAATTGTCTAGATAACCGGAAATTAATTTTGGTTAGGTGTATAGAAACTAATCTTGTACTCAATTGGGAAAAATGCCATTTTATGGTCGAGCACGGGATAGTTTTGGGTCATATATTGTTGTCTTAGGGTATTGAGATTGATAAAGTGAAAATAGATGTTATATTTACTTTACCTTACCCTGCGAGTGTGCGGGAAGTGCGTTCTTTCTTGGGTCATGCAGGTTTCTACAGAAAATTTATCAAAGATTTCTCGAAAATTGAAGCACATCTGTTCCAACTTTTACAGAAAGAAGTGCCCTTCGAGTTCAATGAAGCATGTAAGAAGGCATTTGATAGGTTGAAGGAGCTATTGATCTCCTCATCTATTATCCAACCGCCCGACTGGAACCTGCCATTCGAGATCATGTGCGACGCCAGCGATTACGCAGTGGGCGTGATGCTAGGTCAAAGAGTGGAGAAGGCAGACCATGCTATCTACTACACATCTCGAGCCTTGACCGGAGCTCAATTGAACTATTCGACCACCGAAAAGAAGCTTTTAGCTGTAATTTTTGCTTTGGAGAAATTTCGGTCCTATTTACTTGGAGCTAAAGTTATTATTTTCTCTGATCATGCAGTCTTGCGGTATCTGTTTACCAAGAAAGAGGCAAAACCGCTACTGATAAGGTGGATACTGTTGCTACGGGAGTTTGACCTGGAGATCAGAGATAAGAAAGGGGCAGAAAATTTGGTAGCAGATCACCTGAGTCAGGTATAAGTCACCAAGGATGACATCCCGTTGAGAGAAACTTTCGCCAACGAGCACTTATTTTCTGCTAATTTATCTTTGTTTTGGTATGCAAATATTGTTAATTTTCTAGTTACTGACAAGTTTCCTGCAGGATGGCCTAAGGCAAAAAGGGACAAGTTAAGGAGTGACGCAAACTCTTCCATCTGGGATGACCCTTACCTATGGAAGCGTGGTGCCGACCAAATCATTCGTAGATGTGTAAGAGAAAATGAATTCCAGTCTATTTTAGCTTATTGTCACTCTTTTGCATGTGGAGGTCACTTTGGACCAAAGAGGACTGCTCGTAAGGTTCTAGAGAGTGGATTCTATTGGCCAACCCTCTTTAAGGATGCCTACTCATTTTGTAAGTCATGTGATAAGTGCCAACGAGTAGGTAATATTTCTCGTACGGAGCAAACGACCCAAACTCCAATGATTTTTGTTGAGATTTTTGACGTTTGGGGTATTGACTTTATGGGCCCTTTTCCTTTGTCTTATGATTTTCTATATATATTGCTTGCTGTAGACTATGTTTCGAAATGGGTGGAAGCAAGCCCACCCCGTACTAATAATTCCAAAGTGGTTGCAGAATTTGTCAAATCTAATATTTTTGTCCGCTTTGGGATGCCGCGAGCAATTGTAAGTGATCGGGGTACCCATTTCTGCAACAAGACTGTCGCGCCCCACTTTTTGAAAGGTTGTGAATGTAGTTTGTGAGATATGTATGTGAACGTGTGTGAAAGTGAAAATAAAATGCCGTGGGATTGTGAAATGCGACGGTTTGGCCAAAAATATAGTTCAAAAAGGGTTTTTTGAATGGAAAATGGAGTCGCCACTTGGTATAGAGTTAGGGTGTACCAAGTCACCCAAAAATGATTTTTGTTTTTGAAAGAAAAAAGTAAACAAACCCTTTTAAAGAACTTTTTAGGTCTACGCAACCAAAGAAAGGGATCGGTGGTCACATTTGATAAGGGAGAAGGCAAAGGCAAAGCCTAAGGCACTCCCTTACCCTAGCCAAAGCTAGTTGCGTGACTTAGCCCCACTTTTCCTAATTCTTCTACCCAAAATATGCGTTGCATGTTGGATGTGACTAATGGACATGAAAACAAATGCAATCCTAAATCTAAAATGTTTCTTATGAGGCTTTTTGGTCCCAACCATATGAATTGTAATGGCCAGTAAGGAAAGCCCTCATAGAAGTCATGAATAATGCAAATGAAGACTTAAGTATGAATGTAAGTGTGCAAATGTAAGAAAAGTGCAAGTGTGCAAATGTAAAGAAAGTGCATGTGTGCAAGTGTATGAAAATAAGGTATAATGGTAGTAAATATATAGATGCAATTGGGTGCAATTTGTGAGGTAGAAAAATAAACAAGTGATAAAAAAAGAAATAAAATGTGCAAACATGACATTTGGAGTGAGAAAAATATAAGTAGTGAGAGAATGTGGATAAAAAAAGTGAGGAGGTGATATGATAGAAATGAAAGTGTATGAACCTAAAGGAATGCATCAAGTCGAGTACGGGAATGACTCCTAACTACACTACTTTAATTTTCCCTTTGATCAGAAGGAAGGACTAGCGTGCTAAGGTTATTTTGTAGCCACACTCGCTCGTTTCTCTTATCGAAAGGGGACTCTCAAGCAAATGTACCCTATAACTAGCATGAAGATGGAAAAACCTAGAATGAAAGGAAAAGGTTTGGAGGAGCATGCCAATTGCTAGAAAACTAAGAAAAATGCATGGAATGTAGTAAGGCATACAAAAAATGCACTAGCGAGAGGGACGGGCCTAATGGGTCTAACATTGGACTAGCCCCTTTCTAGCACTCTTTCACAAGCATTGGACTTGTAAGAGCTCGAGGGGACAACCATGACTAGCATTGGACTAGCCACGGTTACGTGCATTTGCATCCATCATACACATATATAAGTAATGTGCATAATTAAAGCAAGTAGGCATGTGAGCACGTAATTCACATAACACATAAGCATGCATATCTAGATGCCAAAACCTAAGAAAAGCAATTAAAACATAGCACCTAAGCATGCAAAAACACATAAGGCAATTAAGCCCCTAACTATTACATTTTTGGTGGGGGAGGCCTACTACAATCTAAAAGGGGGAAATGGAATGAAATAAATAGTTAAAATAAATCTAACTATTACAATTGTGGCATTCAAGTGCCTCTCAAATGATCAAAAATTGAACTAAAGTAAAAAAAAAATACTAATTTAAAACAAACTAAAGCGAATAAATAAGTAAATAAAATGAAAGCATTCAAATGGCATGCAATTGAGCACACAAATCACATAATGCACATAGGGTCAAACAAAGTGGAAATAGGGGATAGAATGTATCTCCCTTGAATTGGAGCCCTGAATGGAGTGAAATCACTTATTTATCCTCTAAAATAAAAGAAAAAGTCAAGGTACCAATTTATTTGGGAAAATTAAAGAAAATAGGCAAACACAAGCTCACTTGGACACAAAGTTCTTTAGTTCATGCATTAAGTGCAATCTAAACAAAGCATGGTAATTAATTGAAACAAACCAGCGATAAAATTGCAAAAATCAAAGCTGTCAAGAACCAAATTGATAAAATTATTCAATTGATTGGATCCTAGTAGCATTGAGGAGGCTTGAGGGGTTAAAATGCAACTTTTAGAATACATTTCATGCATGCTACGTAAAAAGCTTTCTTTTACAACATACATTCGAAGCTTTCTGCAACCAAGAAAAACATCACCGCAACCTCCATTTTCACGCGCAAAACATCAATCTTGAACACAAATTTGGCCAGAACTTTTTCGACCAGAACATCAAAGCTTTAATCTAAATGACCAAACACATTAAAAAGAAACAATCACAGGAACGCAATCCTCTTAGCCATTACTGAACCAGCAAAAAAACAAAACAGGCGAGCTGAATGAAAGCAACACAGCAAACATGTTCTTCATGCACTTGGGAAAATGGAAGTTTATAATGAAGCAATCACAACAAATGATAAGCTTCAATGCAACAAATGCAAATGAGTGTGGAGCATAAGAGTTGCTGTGTAACAGCTTTACAAGCTGCGGTTTTCATGAGCTGCAAAACCGTAGTGCAGCAAATTAACAAAAGATTGTTCCATGGAATTCACAGTTTCAGGCAAGAAGAGAGCAATGACCTGCTCATGCTGCTGCAACAAGCTGAGGACTTCAAAGCTTGTTGCAGCAGATTTCTATGTCCAAATCTAAGTGCAACGTAAACTGACCCTAGGTGACAAAGTCATTAAACATTTTCCCTATTTCTACCAAGTGCAGCAATGAAACTGAACTATGAAAAATGCAACAGGTGCCAAAAGAAACCTACAGTAAACACGTTCCTGATATGCCGAATCAAAGACACTGACTTCAGATGGACCAACAGTTTTAGTAAATGGAGAAAACAACCATTGCTGAAACTTTGTTATGCTTTGAAGTCTCAGCCAATTTTTAATAACTATCTCTAATCAAAAACCAATCAAGCATATTGATCAGGATTCATTAGACACTCTCAATATACTTTGATGAACACCATAGCCATTAAAATTCATGCGGAAAGTGCGTGCAAGGAAAA